ATAAATTATCAACAAAATTTACTCTTCCATGTCTAGAAAACAGATGCTTTAAGTACACTGGGTTCTCTTTTTACAGTGCTTGACTTAAGGATGAGAATTTTGTTTACCCCCTTTATTAAAGTTAAAGCCTCTTTGACAATCCCTTAAAAAATTTCTGATTCAGAACGATTTTGAACACTTGATCAGACTCTGTTGATAGGCAGTAAGTAGTTTCCTGTGGGTTTTCCTGGTATCAAAGAAAATCTACTGTTTTAAGAACTTCATTTAGGACTTCACTTATAGGCTAGCTGACTAATTAGCATATGACATAAAAATTACCAAGTACTCATGCAACTAAAAATGTTTAATCATTTAATGTATCAATTCTATCTACTCATTTTGTAATATTTGAAATCAGATCATATGAATCCGATATAGCTTTCTTTTAAGTAAAACTGAGACTCAATCTTTTGCAAGAAGTCTAACCCACCTACATTGATGGTATGAATTAAAAGTCTTTGATTTTGGGCAAGACAATTAATTGAAGACATATCCGTTTGACAAATTAGCAAATCATCAATTTTCAAGCTGAACAGTTTAAAAATGGAAAGTTCATAAAGTTTTAAAGTTTTTTAAATTCAGAAAAGAAAATCAAAACCAAAAGTGCTAATTTATGCAAAAAGTTGAAGTATACAATATAAAAACTAAAGGTATATTATTATGAGCTCTAAGCTCAAAAAGAGAAGCCCAAAATATCTGTGAAGAATGGAGTCTGTTTAAAGAATATTGCAACAAATTGAGTCATTGAGTGGACTTGGACCCCCAAACTGTGTGGATGTCTAACCTAAAACACTGTACAGAAAAAAGACATTTATAACTAAAATTAATGAAAAGAATTATTTAATCTTTGATTTTCATTTATTGAATAGGTTGATCAAGTTGTTCTTAGGGGTGGGGAAATCCCCCTGGAGCTCCTGAACCTTAGGGACACACCTGGGTGATAATTCCGCTTGAATGAATACATGTTTGTATATCTAAATATAAATATGATTTAATATTACAATGTATTGTACATAATTCTGGTAAACATGAGTGTTGTTCTAACCAAGGGAAAAAATACACATCTCTCATTTATCCTGAATTACTAAAAACAAAAGTAGAAAAAAAAACATTTCAAGGGGCTATAACTCTGTATAAACTTGGGATTAATATCTTTTTATCAATTTACATATCACATGATATAAA